CTAGAAGAATTGTTACAACTCCAAGCGGATCTCAGTCATGTAAATGGGACTAGAGCTGCAGCTAACGATTATTTTCAAAATCGATTAGTTAGCCGATTATTAAGTTCGATTAATCGGTTAATCGGATAAACTATAAAATAAAGTTTAAAAAATGGCTCCAGTGATAGGACTACTAGTTTGTATTGAGGTTGTAGTCCATCACAGGAGCAAGCTTGGAGCGGTGGAAGTAAAAAAGAAAAAAAGATAGTGTGGTGTGCAATATAGTGAAATGGAAAGTGTAAAATTATACAGCAATGCATGCAGAATGGCACCGGCTATAGAGGACTACAAAACCCAGCAAAAGTACATTATACAGCACAATGCAGAATACCGCCAGCTATAGAGGAATACAACAAATCCCAGCAATAGTACATTATAGCTGGCGGCATTCTGCATTGCGCTGCATAATGTACTATTGCTGGGTTTTGTAGTCCTCTATAGCTGGTGGTATTTAGCATTGTACCACTTTATAATGTACTATTGCTGGGATTTGTTGTACTCTTCTACAGCTGGTGGTATTCTGCATTGCGCTGTATAATGTATTATTGCTGGGACTTGTAGTCCTCTATACAGCGCAATGCAGAATATCACCAGCTATAGAGGAGTACAACAAATCCCAGCAATACATTATACATACATTGTATAATGTATTGCTGGGATTTGTATTCCCATGTAGAATATACAGCACAATGTACCATCAGCTATAGAGGAATACAAATCCCAGCAATACATTATAGAGCACCATGTGTGGGAAAGTGCAGGCTTACCTGAGCAGTCTTCCAGCAACTTGCTTCTGAGATCGGACCTGTCTATCGGCGGCTGTCATCCCCCCACACCTGCTCCTCCTTACTACATCTCCCCGCGTCCCTGTGCCGATCGTTGATGTGGATGGGCAGGAAATGTGAGGCGAGGAGGAGGTGCGGCGTGTGGAGCGCGGATGCGAGCGGGTCTGGCAGCGGCGAGCATGAGGTGGGGAGGAGGTGCGGCGCAACGCGTGTGGAGCTGTGAACAGGGCCAACTGATCGGAAGCCGATTAATCGATTATTGAAAAAGTTGACAACTTTTTCAATAATCGATTATAATCGATTATGTCGATTAGCTGTTGCAGCCCTAAATGGGACACAATCAGACAAGGGTGGTATCTCTATAGCTGGTGGACGAAACAAGTAAACGACGTTACAGGTATAAGAAGTCAAAATAACGACCATATAAAATAATGACAAGGTCAGCCTAAGAGATGACACTGACCTTTGAACATTATATCTCACTTTTGGACTCGCAACCCACCCAACCGGCCATAAAACGTATTTTAATATATCCACACTGCAATATATGAGAGTATACAGCTTTAGTCCGCAGCGTTTTACACCTTGTATCCTAAGCATGAATTCTAATCTTACTTGGATCTGCTATTATCTAAAGATGGCCTTGGCCTTGAAGCATTACTAGATGATTATACATGGGACAGCCATCTTGTATCTAGGTAGGAACCATTTGGTCCTTTATCCACCTTGGCAGGCTTCAATGATATGTATGAATGTACAAATTCCAATGTCAGCTTCAATACCGCTCTCCTAAACGTTAAGAACCTTCATGTTCTCGACACCTTTCTGATTTTGCAGAAGCAGCTCCAAATTATGAACACAGCTCTTCGGGTGCAGAGATAACGCTAACATGCCCAGAAAATGAATGGCAGACCTCACCGTTTACTAAACGGAATGTGTTTCCAGATATCTAACCTATATCAGTCAGTACGTCAACAGATAATCCAATAATCACAAACCATTGATAAAAGCACGTCGTATCATCTTGGGTTACCTTGCCATGTACACACAGCATGACATGGGCACAATGCCGCCATTTACAGACAGAAATATCTATCAGCGGATTAGCCCGGGCCTTGTAGGTGCCGTGTGTTTGGAAGATAACATGGGGAGATATCTGGAGAAATGGATATTGTCTTCGCTGACAGTGTGCGTTTGGTGTGCAAGTCTGAAGCATCAAATGAGCCCACAGTTGGGGGTTATTCTGCAGACTGGCTTCCAACAGGGAGCGCACAGATGGATGCTGGGAGGACGGCGGAGCAGGTGTACTGATGCGATATGGTATTGCATTTATCGTATCATTGTAACGGGCGGCAGGGCGTGATACATGTTCGGTTCGGGGGAGACAAGGACAGCCAGCGCGCATGTCCAGAGAGGTTTATATATGTTCTAATGACAGGTAAGCTGGAATGTAATGTATCACAACTGAAAATGATGGCAGGGCCGGTGAGGCAGATGGTTTGTTGAGATCTGCATTACAC